TAAAAAAAACCCAAATGTTTCCAGAAACAAAAACTAATGTGTTCATCAACATCATTGGAAATATAATTATTTCCTTACAACTGAAGAGTAATAAACCATGTTAACTCCAGTCAGTGAGGGTCTGTGTGGTACCCTCATATATGTGGGATCGAAGACGGGCTGCTTGGTGGGAGAAGGACTGAGACGACCCAGGACTGCCTGGTGTCGATCAGCAGGTCCGAACCGCGGCCTGGACGGGGCTGTTTACCTGTGTGGTGAGCGAGAGAACACATTCAACCAAACTATCTCACCTTCTCCCAAATTACATATATATTTGATGTTCACACTATATGATGACAAAAACATGTTTCAGAGATGAAGGTTTTCCCTGTCACCATCAGTATTAGTGTGTAAGTTAGGCTGCATGTATTACCATCCACCCATCCCTCTATATCGCCCCCTGGTGGGGCTTGAAATGCAGTGTAGCCTCCATTTAGCATAAGGGAAAACAAACTAAAAAGTAAATAATGTTTCGTTCTTATCACGGTGTATGTTTGTTCAACTGGTTCATTTTATCATCAGTAAAACCTCTCCTAACATAAAAGTTATTTAGTTTGATTGACAGCATGAGCCATTAGGTCGACCGGGTAGTATGAGGGGGGCCTTGATAACGTGGTGCCAACCTTCATAAACTACTGCACCAGGACTTTTCTGCACAGAGAAAAGATGGCATTGGCCATATCCGTGATAATTCTGCTTAATTTTTTACTAGAGTTGGAGGAAGTGGGAGATCTTTATATGTCTGTATATAAATAAAAAGCAAAGTGATGTTTTCATTACGCTGACAGGGGCCGAGCGTCCGGGGGAGGGTTGGACACAGACGCCGTGAATGGAGCTTCAACTTCATGTGCTGACTCAGGCTGCAGATAGAGAGAGAGAGAGTGTAACGTAATGACACTTTATCCCAACACACACATTCTTCGAACGTTAAATGTTTTTTATTGATATATAGAAAAATGTATTTAAGAGTTCTCGTGCCTCAGGTACCTCGTTACAGTTCCCCGGTTGAGATCTGGAAGGCCCACGGCTGAAGACAGATGTGCTTCCTTTTCGGACATGTTGACCAACGGTTACTGAGAGGGAGTGGACAGACCACAGCAGCCAGCGTTGCATCCTCGCTCATGGACCACGCCCTGGAACAACACACACATATTATCAGGGTCAACAACTTCAGTGAAATAATTTTGCCTTTAGTTTGAGTTTAATCAAACCTTTTGTATATAAATCAGCTTCAGCATTGCTTTTCTTGGACTGCTGCACTTTAAAGGTTTGTAGGCCGCGAAACTTATTAAAAATGCAAATGTCCCAATGTACAGTCAGTGTTTTGTTTGTCTGTTTCCTGGGCTACTGTAGAAAAAAAATGGCAGGTTCAAAATGGTGGACTCTGTAGAAGTAAATAAAAACGTAGGTAACGCAAAGAATCTTATTTTCAGGTGATTATAGACTAATGACAACATACTTATGGATATTATATTCTGACAATAGATCCTCCTCAGTGTTACACATTGGACCTTTGACCCTCCAACAGCCATTTGAAAAACTTTCAAATTCAGCCCCTGAATTGGACCATAAAAGGTGCCAGTACCCTAATTCACCAAAACCCTAACCACAAAATAAGTTATTATTTTGCCATTGTGGAGGTGGGTGTGGTTTACAATCAGCTGAAGGAGAGAGAGGTGGGGAAAGTTTGTCAGAGCAGCACCAGGTGAGTTGATGATCTTAGCTGTGCTCACTGAGTAATCACTCTCTTTTATATTGCAGTAGTGTGCTGGACTTGGTTGCCACACACAAATGAGAGCGGATGTCCGGAGTTGTTTTGTGTTGACGGGTTGCAGCTGGGAGTGAATAAAAGTAGT